AAGGAATTCCAATGTTTGCTTTAGAATGTTTCCAGATACCTTTTTTGAAGCAATATGGAATACTACTCAAGCGCACAAAACCAGTGAGTGTGAGCAAAAAGCCACCAACTGGATGAACTGCTTAGTCTCAAAACAATTCAATAATCCGTTCTAGGCGGAGGAAGTCAAGAGAGATACAGATAGAGTCCAGGATTGCCTGCCCCATTTAAGTGGAAAAAACCAATGTGTATCTGTAGTATTTTACCCCCAGTAAAATATATGGTACAGCCCACACTTCCATGACAACATATGCTAACTGTGGATCAAGAAATAAGGGCTCAAGAGTATGTGTGTTGGCCATAATCTTAGTTTTAAACAGGCTAATGTGAGAAAACATTTCTCTCAAAGTTACATTATTGTTATGATTTGGGGTTTTATTTTGCTGCTTCAAGCCACATCGATATATATCTCAGAGTAATATAATTTCCTGAAACAAATCCGTAAATGTGGTTATAGAAGAACTGCATTCAGGTGTGTTTACTAATGTCATGAGACATTTTCTTTCTCATGCAAACACACACATTGAGAGGGAGAGAGAAAGAGAGAGCTCCAGTAATATTACCAATAGAATTACTGGTTTTGGTGTGTCTTCTGGGCATTTGAAATTTGGAGTCATCATTATCTGCACAACACACATATATATAAACTTCCTGCCCCTGGATAATTACAAAGAAGAATATCACACAACAGACAAGACAGGTAAGAAAATTGAAGAAGGCAAAAGAAAGAAAAAAGAATCTTATTGCAGTTATATGTACACAGATATAACTTACTCAGTACTCTGGTGAGTGATGATTTCCTCTATGAATGTTGTGTTTCCAAACATGATAAAACTGAAAGGGAGGGCAGAAAGGACTTCTGTTTGGGTATATTATTTGTTTTTTGCTCTGCAGCTGCTCTATCTAATAAAAGACACAGAATCACAGCCCTTGTCCTGGAAAATATCAGAGGTGTTAAAATTACATAGGACGTTTTGTTCTTCATCCAGATAAATATACAGGATCTACAAAAATAAAATAATATAGCAGTGGAGTTTCCATTAGTGAAGTATGATGTTTCATATATGCTGGTATCCAATTTCCCCCCAGGGGATGTTGAAGAAAGCAAGGAAGTAATAGTACTGGAGGAAAGGCTCTCTTGGATACAAGACTGCAATAGCAGCAAGCACTGAAGTTATAAAAATGGAAGTGTTACAGCTCCTACATATATCATATTTTTCATAGAAGCAAAGGGTAGTCAGACTATATCCAGATAAAGCATGCATTGTCATGCAAAGTGACAAGAATAAAAATGTGAAAAGAACACAAAGACGGTCTCTTTGTCTCTCTACAAGCAGTACCACAGTATTCTGTCAATAGTCCAGTACAGGTTTGATCTGTACAACTCACTCTCTGTTTTAAAGATGATTTTATCTACAAATCTTGTGTGAAGGTGTTCTGGCAATAAAACGGGTAACATCTTTGTGCAAGGCCAGATATTGACTGGCACTTCAGCAGAGTTACAGCCTAAGGCAACTGCATCACTAACCACCACCACGGGACATCTTTGTGGCACGGCTGAGTTCCTTTGGTCCCACCCCATGAAACAGTACTCTTGTTACTTCTGTTGCCTTAAAACAACATCAGTGGTCTGGTAGGTATTATGAAGATCAGTGAAATGTGAAAAGAAGCCATCTCACCCATCAGCAAGACATGAAAACTTAATACTGGTGACCCTAAAATTTTAGTGTTCATCTTGTGGGCATCCATGATAGGCAAGGGCATCTGAAAACTACAAACATTTTTCTTTAATTCTAAAAAGGCTGTGAAAATAGTCTCTCTCTCTCTCTCCTTTCATCTCTTCTGAGATGTGCTCAAACAAAACACCAATTGGAGTGTCTACTAAGTGCTTATATAGTAAGAAATCAGTACAAATAATTTCGAGCTAGTAGACTTTCTAGATAGAATAAGGTGCTCTGTCTGACCACCTTATCTATCTCCTGAGAAACCTATATGTGGGACAGGAAGCAACAGTTAGAACTGGATATGGAACAACTGATTGGTTCAAAATTAGGAAAGGAGTACGACAAGCCTGTATATTGTCCCCCTGCTTATTTAACATATGCAGAATACATCATGCGACAGGCTGGACTGGATGAATCCCAAGCCAGAATTAAGATTGCCAGAAGAAATATCAACAACCTCCAATATGCAGATCATACCACTCTGATGGCAGAAAGTAAGGTGGAATTAAAGAACCTCTTAATGAGGGCGAAAGAGGTACGGAGGCAGTGACAGATTTTACTTTCTTGGGCTCCATGATCACTGCAGATAGTGACAGCAGCCACGAAATTAAAAGACGCCTGCTTCTTGGGAGGACAGCGATGACAAATCTAGACAGCATCTTAAAAAGCAGAGACATCACCCTGCTGACAAAGGTCTGCATAGTCAAAGCTATGGTTTTTCCAGCAGTGATCTATGCAAGTGAGAGCTGGACCATAAAGAAGGCTGACCACTGAAGAATTGATGCTTTTGAACAGTGGTGCTGGAGGAGACTCTTGAGAGTCCCCTGGACTGCAGAGAACAAACCAATCCATTTTGAAGGAAATCCACCCTGAGTGCTCACTGGAAGGACAGGTCCTGAAGCTGAGGCTCCAATACTTTGGCCATCTCATGAGAAGACTCCCTGGAAAAGACCATGATGCTGGGAAAGCGTGAAGGCAAGAGGAGAAGGGAACGTCAGAGGACAAGATGGTTGGACAGTGTCATTGAAGCTACCAACATGAATTTGACCAAACTCCGGGAGGCATTGGAAGACAGGAGGGCCTGGCGTGCTCTGGTCCATGGGGTCATGAAGAGTCGGACATAACTTAGCGACTAAACAACAACAAAAAAACTTTCTTTACTTTGGCAAAGATATATGATCAAGGCAGTAACAGGCAACAACTACCATACTGTGACTGTAGAAAATCTCCTGCTGGTTTACCCTCTTCTCTTCCCTTCCAGAGATAGGAGGAGATTTTGGCCCCACCTTGGAACCTCCTGTCAGCAAGGAGTACATACAGTTTCCTCCTTTAAAACAGCAACTCATAAGGAAGAAGCTACATTTAAAAAAATATATATAGGCCAGAATCCTATTAGTTATTCCCGCTGGCATGAAGTTCATCTGCATAACTTTCAGTGGGAAGTTGTTGCTAGTTAATAAGTCTGTGTTTATATTTCTTGTCATATATGTATCAATTTTATGACTTGGTGCATGACAAGAAATACAAACACCAATTTCTTAATTGGAAGCAATTCACCATTGATATTTATACTGTGAGTTCATCATGGGATAACTACTCAATTTGAGTTTGGACCTAACATAGGAACCAGTCTATGCAATGATCCCAGAAGCTCACTTGTTCCTCATATTGACTCAAGCAATATTATTACAAATCCTATTACCATCACTCATCTGGACCAATTTACCAGCCTATCACAATGGGATATATGCAATCATATGCCAGTATGTCTACATAGGACAAACATATCAATTCCACACACTACAAAAGAAGATACGAACAGAAATCTGACATTTAGAAACTGTTAGAAAAACATTTCAGCCTCCCAAAACACAATGCTGCTAATGCAAAAGCTGCTGATCTTTAATGCAAGAATTTCAAAGGGAGACTTCAGGTGAGTCAGACCTTATCAGAAAACATGAATCAAGATTGCAATTTCCTCTTCCACTACAACTGTTAATTAATATAGTAGAAGTGATTGGCATGATGTTGTTTATCACCAACAACCTCTTTTGTAAATTCCGTTGTGATTGCAAACACTTAAGATCACATCACCATCATAATCTTAGAATTCTTGCACCTAATAAACATTTATTTTTCCCTCTTTCTATACTTGCTGAATTCTAAAATGTCATATACTTGATACTGTAGTCCACAAAATTTATGTGAAACATGTTAGTCTTTACAGAGCCACAAAACTGCCCAACATGGAGGTTCCTAGATGGAGTTTCATTTAGCTGTGTGAACTAATCATGTGTGAACTAATAATTTGCAGCCAAAAAAGCACAAGAATTGGGAAGGAAAACCTTTTGAATTTCAAATGTACATTACATTAGGCTTTAAATGCAGTTGATCACCAAATGCAATACACTCTACATGGAGAAAACATTTGCTTTTATTTTGCCATATTACTGCTATTGTGATCAACTCAAAATTACAGTCATCATGTGAACAGAGGTACATTGCCCCAGTTTGCCTATCTATAAAATTACCATTAAATATATATATTTACATTTGTTAATTAACTGATGGGGTTTCTGTATGATCTGCTGCTCAATGACTTTAAAAGTGCAAATTAATTGCCTTTAGTACTTCTCTGTGTATAAAAATGGTGACATTGTAGTAGCTGCAATGGGCTTAAGTTAGTCTCTATTGCACTTAGGGTTGCATTAAGATATACTTTGCTACTTGTTTTTTGTAGAGGTGCATGCAAAAGAAATCACAGAGTTACATATACTGGTAAGTGCAGAATTAATGATAAAGTGCAGAGCTAGGAGCTTCACCAGATGTATCTCTCATGTTCCCATACAATCAACTTCACACTAAGAAAACATGCAGTTTTCAACATTTTTCTGGTTGCTGACTTGCATATTTTCAAAACACACATTAGATAATGGAATATTAGAAATGCCCCATATGGAAGAAGTTGAATATCATACTGTTCCCCTTCCACAGCTTTAAAGTGAATTTCTAGGCTGTGAAAGCAAATTGAAGTGAGATGCAGAATCATACATGGCACCATAAAAAGTCTATTTAAAATATCTGATTTGATAGACAACAGAGATCTCTAACAGCTTGATTGAAAGAGGACAGACAGTAATTACTTCAGCCTTTGTGAGGTATAATACACAAGATGACTAAGAACCATTAAGCAGGAAATGTGTTGCAGGGGTGGCTGGAAACCCTATATAAGACCTACTTTGGTTTTCCTCTGTTCTAGGTTGTCTTGAGAGCTAGGGGAAAAGGAGAAAAAGATTAATACATGTTGTTCCTAATAACAGTGAGCAGTTTTGTAATTTTGCAACTTGTCAGGGAAGAATGTTTTTTGGGAATGCCTGGGGGAAAAGGACTAAAAATGAGGGCAAACAAATAACTTACAAATTGAAGACAAATGGAGGAAATATACTATTGTTGAATTACAGAGCTGCAGAAAAAGCTGGAATTATTCACAATAATGGGAAGATATTACAAAAAGTCAAACCTTCTATTTGCCTGATTAGCAATATGAAAATGTTTACTTTCTTTCTACATAGTTCTTTGCTGGAAGGAGATTTTATTAAGTGCTAGTATTTATGATATGTTGGGATATTGCCACATTGTAATCATTTTTTTATTTTTTTATTATTTCTTATGTCAATAGAAGGTGACAAAAGCAAAAGCAATACCCTTTTGTCAAGCAGTCAAATTGGCTTTCTGGGTTATGTCCTCACATGTCTGAAGATGAGCGTTATCAACTATCATTTTACACATTTATCAAAGCAATCATTAATAGAATATGGATGTACTAACTTCCCGTCTATAAAATTTACTATGTAAACAACAGAAAGAATTGTATATTCTCATCTCACCCGATCTCTGGAAGCTTGGTGGTAGTTTAATCTCATGAGTTCTGCAAATCTTTGTTCATATAAGTGAAGCAGCAGCACAAGGTAGAGGCCTGAGTTCATCAGTTCATCCTGGGCCTACAGGTAGGTAGGTAGGTAGGTAGGTAGGTAGGTAGGTAGGTAGGTAGGTAGGAAGGAAGAAAGAAAGAAAGAAAGAAAGAAAGAAAGAAAGAAAGAAAGAAAGAAAGAAAGAAAGAAAGAAAGAAAGAAAGAAAGAAAGAAAAGATTTATTTATTTATTTATT